AGTATCAATCTATTACAGGACAAATTTTAATAATAAATTGATTTCAAATATACGAACAATGTTGGGTAACGAAACTTGAGACTATAACAGAACAACAAACCCAAACTATTGAGTTTTTCATTATATTAAAATCAAAATTCAATGATTTTGGGTTTTTTTAATGGATGGTAATGATATGGTCACTCCGCCTGCGCAAAAGCTGGCAGGGCACTAGTAAGTAATGATAAATGAGGATGTAAAGGTAGGTCAGTTAACCCCTCGTAACGAATTCACTTAGAACTTAGCAGTAGTTTCCATGGGAAACCGTGAGATCGACCAGACAGGATATATTGCTAGCAATGGAGCTACTAATCCTCTTTACTTACAATCTCATCTCCCCCCAATGGTTTGCATTATCGTTTCCTAATTTCCTCTGTGCACTGGTTCAGTAAGATAATGACTTCAGACAACGTCATGATAAGGCTGACATCATGGCGGAAAACTTATTTTTAATATGAATTACTATTAAACCACTATTAAACAGAGACTCACTCTATTTCTCCATGATTATCACGCAAAATGGGGAATCATTCGGTCAATCATTATTGATTAAATGACTTTTCAAGTCGAGTTTTATTTATGAATCAAATAGCATCTGAGATCGATTTTTTAATTATTAACACAAATCTAATAACTGATAAACTTTTAACTTGGAATGAAAGATTAACATTGTTTTCACATTTATCTAGTAAATATACTTCCATAATTCACATAAATCCATAAATAAGTCCTGCTAAACAAGCAAAGTAAATGTATGTAGTTCTAAACACGACGTTTCATCAGTTCAATAGAAGACGTCACGATTACGTGCGAGGGCAAAGGCTGACGTCGTATCAAGCGTGCAGCATTCACGCGGAAACGGTGAGACCGTTGATTTCACTTTCATTTTATCTGCGGAAAATCCTACAACGTCCGCACTTGATGTTCCCACACTGCATGCCGTTAAATAAATATATAGACAATTTGAATATTATATAAATATTTTTAATCGAGTGTGAGTAACCTACTACCCCTCAAACAGAATTTGTTCTGTATACTTAGTACCCTTGATTATAAAGTATATAAATTGACAACGTCAAAAACAAGAAAACATAAATACATATTAGAGCAAGATAGACAAGTAACACAATCACTTATACAATATAAGCTCAAAGCTCATTTCGTCATAGTCGTAGAATAGTGACGGATCTTTATATGTAATCTTCGTCAGATCCGTCAGTATTCTACGACTATGACGATTTGGCGAGAGTATGAACAAAGCAACTACTATGGTTAGAACTGTGTTGTACTTGAATATAACATAAAAAAAAATCCCACTGCTAGCAATATACCCAACCAGGTCGACCTCCTCGTGGTCCTGGAACCTATCATGGTTAATTCTTGATGAATTTATCATGATGAGCTAACTGACCTGTGTTCATTCTCATCGATCACCCTTCACTGGTGCTCCGCCAGCGTATCCCATTAGCGCAGGCGAGGTTACCATACCATTTTCACCCGATTAAATATATATATATATATATATATATATATATATATATATATATATATATATATATATATATATATATATATATATATATCATGTAGTCTACGATGTTATGTCATAATATAAAGAAATAATAATATTTTATAATGAAATACTAAATTACAACAATGTAAATATACGTTTTAAAATCCTACCGCGACGCGCGAAATCAGCCGAGTAAGATCAATACACATTTTAGCACAAAAGATCTGTATGGATCGACGTGCATCGGCTTAGCTGACCTCATATCCGAAGATCAATACCACAAGCGAACAGAAATTACTTACGAAGAAGCGCCATTGAGTACACGGCATAGGTATCACGCGTCGTGCGGATCGCAAACCTTTATTCCATTGCTAGCAATATATAAACCCCTGTCAGGTCGTCCACGTGGTCCCCTTGAAAACCATCGTGCTGAATTCCAGGTATATCCTGATAAGCTAACTGACCTGCCAGGGGGAGAGGAATTGTTAGTAATGCGGATTACCAGTTCCATTGCTAGCAATATCCGTCAAGTCGGTCTCCACGTTATCCACCACGGAAACCACCGTGCTGAATTCTAGGTGTTTATCACGATGGACTAACTGACCAGCTCTTTCATTTTCATTTACCATTTTTGATAGATATTCCTTTTTCAATCCTGACAGCCATAAATACAGTAGCTAGTGTCAGATATTTCTATTACTTGTGTGAGGATATCACCCTCTGATGTCTTGGGTCTAATTCAAATTCGTCGAGGGGAAAGGGATTGTCAGCAATGGAGTTTGACAGCCCCATTGCTAGCAATATGCCCTATTAGGTCGACCTCCACATGGCTCCCCCTGGAAACCATCGAGTCTAATTCTTGTTGAATTCGTCACGATGGGGTGACCTGCTTCATCCTCACCTATTATCCTTCACTAGTGCCCCGCCGGTGTATACCGATAGCGCGAATGGGGTTACCATTCCATTATCATCAGGGGAAAATAAATTGTTAGTAATGAGTTCTAACAGCTCCATTGCTAGCAATATACTCTTATCAAGTCCATCTCCACGCGGTTCCCCTTGAAAACCATCGTGGTTAATTGTTGTCGAATTCTTCACAATGGACTGACCTGCTTTCAGATAGGGATCATTTTCAACCATTTAAAAAAAAAGCGATTTCGTCACACGAAGATCTGTGACGAATTACGGATATCGACTTTAGTATGTGCCCTTCGAAGCACAAAGCAAACAAAAATCAAACGTGACCTTAGAAATCTCGAGGTTTAGGCTAGATTTCAGTTTGAGGATCCCTAAACTGTATGTAGTCGAATGTTGTCCAACCAAGCTGTCATCGCTAACTTCTAGGTACTTGAAAATTACCTATATATATGTATGAGAGGTAGAATTATAAAAAAAAACGTAAATATTTAAAAATATTTATTTGTGAAATAAAATTCAAATAATACAATATACATTTCAATTTCAATCTTTGAACACAAGACTTACCTGTGGCTGAAACAACCTTGGCAGATTGAAAGGACCTCGGCGTCCCCGAAGTTCGCCATGTAAATAAAAGTTATAACATTAGAAAATAAAATTAAATTTTCTAGAATCTTCTCTGTATCGATTTACTTTGACTTGTGAATTGATTAAAAAATTTGCAATATGTAATCAAATATAAATGAAATAAAACCAACATGAGATTCACGCCTAATAAAACACAATAATTATGTATGACATAATTCTGTAGTATCTAGAAATAGTCTAAACAAATAATACAAGTCTTATTGCTTAGTTTTGTTTTCAATTATCAGGTTCTATAGGAAACCTATTTACCTGAAGTATACTGCCCATAAGTACCGCTTGAAAAGGGAGTTACTAATTATACCCTAGTAGATAATATATAAGACTAGGGACGTAAATACATACCTATGTACTATATAAGATTAAAAAGTACTGTAAATAAACTATTTTTTGCAACCAAACCAAACAAAAATTCAACTTTTTCGACGTGGAATCGTAAATTTTGTATATATAATGGTTTAAAAGTAAAGTGAATATACTTTTTAAATAGTCAGAAACTGCCTACACTACCCATTTATTGAGTTGTCCTATTTCAACATTATTTATAATTTATGCTGTAATTGTACCTTACTAATATAATGTTCGTGGGATGTTTTTAAAAAATTGAAGAGGGGTCTTAATAAGACCGAGTTGGTCAACAGAAGCAAAAACAAAATTTATAAATTTTGTCTATTCCAGCATCACGCAAAGTCTACGGCACTAAATGTAATGCGGTTTTCAAATTTGTGTATATTTCACCTTAATAAACCATCTATATAGAAGTGGACTAATTCATGTTCATACTTCTAAAATCCATGCATACGAAGTAGGGGTAAAAAACTAGTATAAAAAAAGTACTGCACCTACATAACATGAAACGATGGGTAATGAGAATATATATAATTTTGTATTAACCATATCTACCTATTTTGACGGATTTATTACTAAAAAGTTTTGTGACCCTACCTTAGGTAGAACCCAGTTAGTCATTATTTTTTATTTTACAAATTAATTTGGATTCAGACCGAAATTGACAAATTTCAAAAACGTCGTGTTTGTGTTGTTTCCATGCTATCGAGCTCAGTCGAGACATAATCATATGTTAAGTTAATCTAATAAATTTTAGTCTAGTAAAATTAAATTATACCTACTTATATCAGGAACAAATCACTACCTACCTGATACATTTCAGGAATCCGCTAGCTAGTGTTCTATTTACATGATAAAGTTTTTACCATAAATTAGGTAGCCGTCTTAAAAATACAATTTTATTAAAATATATATATTCAATAAAATAATGCATTATGTATTTACTACTCGGGTACTAAACATAGTATATTGACGAAAAAAAAACAGCTTTAATATCAAAATATTTTAGAAATGTTTGGTAGAAACTTAACCATAATCTTAAGATTCTGGTATATTCATCTCGTTTTAATAAATGAGCGACATCTATAAGCCTGATGGCGCATTTCGAAGAGAATAGAGATGGCGCTGACGGTACCGTTAACCTGTGTCCTCATTTTCTTACCAACATTATAACTGTTTACTTCCAAATACAGTTAATGCGTGTCAAGCATTTAATTAAAAATGACACGGTCGCAATTCTCCTAATTCGTGATTAGGAGAAGCCAAATAATAAAGGTCAAATAATAAAGACGTAAAATACCTATCTACTTTAATTTTAGTTTGTAATACATTATAAAAATACCACCTAATATAGAATATTTAGTACTAAATTAAGAAAAACATTTTTCACTAAATTTTAACAATAGAATGTCAGCATTCAGTTTCTTATTGAATATTACATTCAATAGACACATTTCTTATGTGCATTGCTGACAAAATGACAAAAAAGAAAATTAAACTAAAGGAATATTTACACAGATCTAAAGAAACAACCCTACTGATTTGTATTAAAATTTATTTTTACATTATATTTAATTTTAAACCTATAAGTCATAATTCTACACCTATATTCATTAACAGTTATTTGAGAACTTAATACTGAGTAATGTATAGAAATTTTTAAATGATTGAACAAGTCTATTCACACTGATCTTAAGAAACTGCTATTTAGTGGGATCTCTTACAGGGATTATCCTAAATTGTACTTAATTACTCGTAAAAACGAAACTAAATCTCATTAAAATACATAACTATTTCCTTAATAAGTATGTCACGGTAAGTACCTAAGTACTACAATAAATAGAAGATCAACTTACAAATCAGTACACATTAAAAATACTCTATTTAATTTTTTTTATAAAGTAAGAGTCAAGGACTCCAGCTATATGTCTAATGGTTTCCTGACGGCTTCTCCTAGGTGGTCTCGCGTGTGGACCATGAGGTGTGTATCTAGAGTGCTCCGGAGCGTACTGCCTACACTAGCACGGTTAACACTGCTTTACTAGTGTACTTAGCACGAAACCTAGAGATTGAAAAAACCTTTAATAAGTCATGTACAAATAAATGCACTAGCACAAGGGGGCTACCTGCATAGCATTAATCATCGAACTATCACTGGACAATATAGATCTACTATCTCTATCTCTTCCTAAGCTCAATTAATGCTATGTAGTGCTCAATACCTAAATAGTAAACATATCTCAGAAAAATAACTATATTTCCTATAGTCAGAAAAAATATACAATAGTCATGGAAATAGTATTAGTGTGAAATATGTGAAATTGTAATTGTAGTGAAGAGTTGTACTTACGTTGTTTAAAATCTGCCCCCTCGTCCCTGACCTCCTCCATAATTCCCACCGCCATAGTTGCCACTACCACCACCACCCCCACCCTGATTCATGTTGTAAGGGGCAGCCCTGTTATTGCTGTATTGCTGATTCCGAGTTGGTCCCCCACCATAACCTTGTTGGTTATAGCTTCCGAAGTCCTGATTACCCCAACCCCCACCTCCTCTAGTATTTCCACCCCCATAGCCACCACCCTGGTTGCCACCACCCCAGCCTCCCTGATTATTATCCCATGGATTGGAATTGTTCCAACCACCCTGATTGCCTCCATAGCCACCTGTAATAGTTAAGTTTGTTCAATTATATTCTTATTGGTTTGATAACATTTGTGAACAACAATGGAATAAAATATTTACCTGAATTACCCCAATTGTCATTTCGACCCTGTCTTCCGCCCCCTCCTCTTTGATCTGCGCCATCTTTAGGAAGGGCTTTCTTGACATCCAATTGTTTTCCACTGATTTTGTGTGGAGCATTCACTGGTAATAAGATTATAAATTTATAAATAAAATCCAACTAAAATTACTGGTTTGCAATTACTAAGTTATAGATACCAATTAACCAACACATAAATTTTTTTTTGTAATTTTGACATAGAATTATACATACTGCACATAATGCATATGCAGCATTTCATCATCTATAATTTTGTTTAACTTGTTTGTTACAAAACAATATTATTGTGGATATCATATTAAAATTAATTAGATACAATAAATAAAATTAAATGTACAATAACTTGCGTACCAAAACTCCCATTTTGAATAGTATGGTATAGCTAAAGTTATTAATTACTATCCACAGTCAGAGAAGCCAGATTTGGACACATACTTCCATTCTGGGGCAAAACTGTGGGAATAATTTATAAAATAAGTTATTAACAAATACTTACAGCAAACTTTGTCAACTGGATCATAATCATCAAACTCCACAAATGCAAAACCACGTTTCTTGCCAGTAGCCTTGTCGGTGACAATGCTGACATTTTGTACATTTCCATAGTTTGAGAAATATTCACGAAGTTGTTCCTCATCATGATCATCTTTGATACCACCAATAAACAGTTTCTTTACTGTTGCACCAGCCTCAGGATTTTTAATGTCTTGCCTAGCCACAGCACGTTTGGTTTCAACGACACTGTCCAAAAAAATAATATTATTAGATAAAAAACATCTCTAATAATGAGTGATAATAGACTCACATAATTATAATCATTGTTGACCCTGCAGAAAATGCCACGTTTACAGACAACGAGACATTCACCATAGCAATGTCATTTATTTTTTGCAGTATAAAACGATATGAAAATGACACAAACACTTTCATATAGCTGGACTGCAATATTTTGCGATCAATAATAACAGAGGTGAACTCACCGTCCATCGATACGATGCGGCCTATTGTTCTGCGCGTCATCCACCATATGCGCCTTAGAATATGTGATAAAACCAAAACCGCGAGATCTTTTGGTTTTTGGATCCTTCATCACTACAACATCCACAATTTCGCCCCATTTTTCAAAATGAGACTTGAGCGAGTCGTCTGTGGTACGATAATTTAATCCACCGATGAATATTTTGCGGTGAACTTCGGGTTCATCCTGTAAGTAGGACGCTACGTGAACAAAATGGCGGATGGCGTGGTCTTAAACTTATAAACACAGCAAGTACAAAAAAAGGTTTACAATTTACTTATATCGTTACTTAAAATTGAACATCTTAATATTTAAACAAGAAATTGTTAAAATAAATTATGAATTAATAATAAATAGAAAAATAACAGGTAAGGTGATTCATCTTTATACATAGTAAAACATACTTACAAATTCATCATCACCGTTCTGCTGGGGCCTCATTTTGATAGATATCACTCTTAAACAATTAAAAATAGAATAAACTAAACAACGCCCTAATTATAATTTTAATGAAAATGTATTATCCTTTTCAGCAATAAGACGACTTCGCGAAAGCACGACCGTTCCGAAGTGACGCCACGCCAAAAAGAAAGAAAATGAAGAACAACTAGGAGTGTTCCATATATATCGATATTAGTTTTCGATATATCGAATCATTACGATATTAACAAATACTAAATATCGATATATTTTATTCGCATCAAAAAAATCTATTCGAACACTGGCTCTGATTTGATTTTACTCTATGACAGATTTAAACTATGATTTAACATTATGATTTGGAGTAGTACAGCCACGTAGTTGTCTTTATGGTAGCTGCACGAATAAGGCCGGCTCCACCGAGGAAGTGCCCCCATCTTACAGAATATTGGCGAGAAATAACAGTACTTGTACTGTTGTGTTTCGTTCCGTAAACCAGAGTTCCGGAAGCCCAACCACTCCTCTCTTAAAATCCGGCAACACACCAGCGATTCCCCCGGTGTTGCAGATATCCATGGGCGGCGGTGATCACTTACCATCAGGTGACCTGCTTGCTCGTTTGCCGCCTCTAATAAAAAAAAGACCCACTCGTGACCTCATTTTTAAGAAACGTACGAAACTAGCGACTTGATGAACGTCACCTGTTTTAAATCTAAATAAATAATAATAATAATCTAAATACATTCATCAACTATACATTTACATATAAAATGAAAATAAATTAAATCACTATCTAAATGTTTATAGCTGTACAGTTAAATAAATAAACTTGCCCACATACTTTATTCAGGCTTGTATTTAAGATTAATTCATATTTACTATTAAACTATGATTTTAATTAAAAAAAAATAATTGATTGGTTATTTTATTAAAATCATAGTTTCTGATCTTATTTAAAAGTTAACTTGATTGTATATACAATGGTGTTCGATATTTATAGTTTATTTACACTTTTTTAACGTTTTTACACTTTTATTTGCAGTGTACAATTTGTATGTGAGTACTACTCACATTCATAACAATAACAATCACAGTTAAGAGGAATTATAAATTTACAATAATCACAACAGAAAAATTTATTGTAAACTAAACGGGTCAATATTTATTTATTTATTTAACTCTTTATTGCACCATAAATAAAAATATACAATGACAAGATAATAATTCAAGTGAAATACAGTAACATAAATATAGATTGAAATTTTATTCATGCAAAGGTTAAAAAATATTAGGATATTTAAATATATTTTTTGAGATGGTCGTATCTTCACTTATCTACTCTTAATTAACTTTTTATCTTTCTTTTTTTTTATTAATAATTATATTACATACTATATATATCAAAATATTGATATTTGATAATCTATACGAGAATCCAATATATCATATCGAAAAAAATATCGATATATTTTTCAGGTGATATCCCTAAGAGCAGAAAAAATAATGACATTATTGACAGCCAGCAGCAGAGTTGCCAGATACCATTTTCATTTTTAACCAAACGTTAAACAATTTTTTTCATAAATTTATCGACGAAAAAAAAATTTTTTTTTTTTCAGTTTCTATTTTCTTCTCTCCTTATCTTCTATAATGTATCTTCACTATACTATATTATATACAAACAAGCTGACAGCCCACTTGATGAAAAGTTGTAACCATCACTTGTAGACATACGCAGTACTATGGACATAACAGTGTATACTGTTTCGCCCATAATAATCCCCATACGTTGCCAATCCTGAGGACTCAGGTGTTATTCCTCTGTATCCTGTAAATTCATTGCCATATCCACCTTTCAAACCAAAACACAACCATGCAAACATAACTGCTTCACGGTAGAAACACAAATGGGACAGAGGTGCTCAAGCAAATGACTTTTATACAAAGTCTCCCCCCTCCCCCTCTTTAGAGAGACTTCTTTTAAATTTCATACTAAAAATTATTCGAGATGAACTTTTTTACAAAAATGTTGCGTTTTTTAAAGTAACAGTAGGAAAATTCTAAACAAACATTTGCACCAGAAAGCCACAGATGTGTTTTCCCCTTTACATAAAAAGAATTGTGTGGAATGCATAATTTTATTAAATATTTATAAAATATGTATAAATACAACGGATTATGCTTAGAGGAATTATTCAATATGATGCCTACGGCCACTTTCTATCATCGTACTGCTCGCCATCGACAGGGAGTTCATACTACAGCCTAAATAGTCGCGTACAACGCGGTTTCAGAGATGTTTTCTCCCACGAACACTAAGGTTATGGAATGAGCTCCCTGCCGAGGTTTTCCCAAGAGACTATAGTATGGGGTTCTTAAAAAGGGGGGTAAAGAGGTTTCTTTTAGGGTCGGCAACGCTCGCGTAATACCTCTGGTATTGCAGGCGTTTATAGGCTATGGTAACCGCTTACCATCAGGTGGGCCGTATGCTTGTTTGTCACCTCAGTGGTATAAAAAAATATGTCATTCCCGTAGATATATTTTTAGAAAAATAAAAAATTCCCACTATTCTGTAACTATTGGTTTACTTAATTTTTTGTTTTTTTTTTATATTGGGTAATCCTCCTTCCGCCCCTCCCCCCAGCCTGTCGCCAGAATCTGTTTGATCCATAACTTACGGGTATATTACAACCTGTATATTGCGACTGCATACATTTTGTATTACCCTTAGATTATAAAGTATATAGATTAGCAATGCACGAAATGAAAAATATAATAACCTGTATGTTGGAAGAAGAGGAAACATTAATTTTTTAATGTGTATATTAAACAATATTTTGCTACTTATGAGCCGATTTTGTTAAGTCTTTTATTAATCGAAAAAGGTATATTCTGGTTTTAATGATAGGGCATGACATTGAAATTTTTTTCATACAAGTTAACGACCCATCTAATGGAATGTGGTAACCATAACCTGTAGATATGAACAGTACTATGGACATAACAGAGTATACTATGTTGCTCGTGATACCCTTCATGCGTTGCCGTTCCTTAAGACTAAGCTGTTATGCTTGGAACCTGTAATTTCACTGCTGTATCCCACAAATTATTTTATATATTATACGACTGTTTTATTACAGAATTACGAATGGGCCGTAAGTTCCTAAGCAGACGACTTTTGTAAAAAATCCTCCCTCCTGGTAAAAATAAATATGAAAGTACAGTACTTCAGACTCTAATAATGGCAATGTATTCATACGTTGATCATGACTAGAGATGGGATTTTACCCGGAAAAAACCCTAATGTGGGAAAAAATAGGGAAAAAACCCGGGGAAAATTCCCGAATGGGAAAATATTCGGGTTTTTTCATATTTAGCATATGTAATATCTAGGTAATGTGTAGATACATGTATATATCAAATGATGCATACTATTTAAGTACTATTAGTACTAGTTAGAGCTAATCTAACTTTATTTACTTTCATAATTCAATAAATACTTTATATACATGTACTCCATGCTATCTAATTAAATTAAATTAAATTAAATAAAAAACCTTTCTGTTTGTGTGTAGCGACAAGTAACCCGAAACTACGTATGCGGGTAGGGGGGCGGGGTAGCAGGTAATAGCAGTGGCGTACGCGTATCTGTCTATCTCACACGTTGTTTTGGCTTCGTACTGTTCGCACTTGCTTTAATTTGTTGGTTTAATTGACGACTTGGATTTTGTTTTGTGGACTTTTGATTTCCTAGTGATTAAATACGTTTTTTACTTTGTATTGACAACTACTGCTACTCTTACGGACTTCGATACCTACTTCTTTTTATGAACGGTAATTTACCGGTAAGTTTAAGCTTTAATAATTGTTATATTAGACTATAAAAGTTTTAGGTACTATATTTGTGGATTCCTTGCAAACCTTGTACTTTTATTCATTGAAATTGATATATTTTCCAAGTTTATTTACTGTAGGAAATAAATATTTTACAAAAGTAGAAATGAGTCATGTATAGAAATGGCCAAACGCTCGGGCGTTTTAGGCAAATTGGGCAAAATATAAATTCCTTCTTTTGGCCATTTATATTTATTTCATATTAGTTCCGAATGTTCACCTACTCTGTAAATATACAATACTTTAGAACAACTCTATGCATTTCTACTGTTTTTACATTTTTTTTTCCTTAGATCACATCATGCCCAGAAAGAAAAATACTGATGTATGGGAAAACTATTTTCATTCGGCAACCAGTAAAACAGTAAAATGCAAACACTGTGATAAAGTTTACCAATTCGGCAATGTTAGCAAGATGACCAGCCATCTGTTGAAATGTTATAAATGTCCAACTGTTATCAAAAACAAACTACAGAAAATACCTGTTACTAGCACAACTGCCACAAATCTGCCCTTGCAAGAGGAATCACATCATGAATTGTCACAGGATAAAAGTTTGACGGATACAATTTCTATTATTACGACTTCATCAGAAATTTCAACAGAAAGAAAACTTTATCTAGATCAGCTCTTATCGAAGGCAATATTTGTTAGCGGTTCTCCTTTATCCATCGTTGAACATCCGCTGTGGGTACGATTTTTTGACGATTTGCAACCACTTTATAAGTTACCATCTAGAAAAGCTATCTCCACAACACATTTGGAAACTATTTATAATGAAATGGTCAATGAAATTACAGACGAACTGAAGTCTATAAATGATTTGCATTTGCAATGTGATGGCTGGAGTAATCAGCGCAATGAAGGCATCATCAACTTCATTATTGCAAAACCCGAGCCTGTTTTTATTAAAAGCCTTAATACTCTTACAAACCGACATACAAGCCAATATGTATCTCAAGAAATAATCAAAGTTATAAAAGTGTATGGAGGCCACAAATTTGTAACTCTTATCGGAGATAACGCAAATAATATTCAAAGAGCATTTCAGATAGTTAAAAATTCATATGCACATATAATACCGCTGAGATGTGTAGCGCATACATTGAATTTGCTTTGCGAAGATTGCTTAAAACTAGAGCCTATTAATGCGTTCATATCGATTGCCACAGATACGATAAAAGCAATAAAAAGAAACCAAAGTATGAGCGCTTTATTAGCTCAGATTGTAAAAGAAAAAGGTTCAGGTGAAACATTAAAATTGCCAGGGAAAACCCGCTGGGGCAGTTACTGCACTGCGTTAAAAAGTTTAAAAAAATCCAAAGTTGCATTACAGACTTTAGCTGTTCACGAAGATGCCACTATTTTAGACGAAATAAAATCAAATTTATTGGATTTAAATTTTTGGACCATGGTAGAAAATTGTATAAAGCTACTGGAACCTATAACAGACAAAATTTTCAAACTGGAAGGCAATGAAATACTTATAAATGAAGTTTACATGGCTTTCAAAGATATTAAGTCTACATTAAATTTTGCATTTCCAGATATATCTGTTCTAAATGAGCATCATAAACAACATATTACAAATGCTGTAATTAGGCGAGCAGATAACTGTTTGAAACCCATTCATTATGCTGCATATTTATTAGATCCAAGATCGCAAGGCATTGAATTAGAAGAAGAACACGAGGTGGATGCAATGGAATTTATACACGACGTGAGCCAATCGCTCAATATTGACGTTGGTGTAGATTTAGCCAATTATAGAGCTAAACAGGGTTTATGGAGCAGACCATTTATATGGAAGAATGTCGCTGAAATTGACCCGGTAGTTTGGTGGAGAGGACTCTGCAAGTCCAAATTGCTTAATAGGGTTGCAGTACGTATTCTTACTGCTCCCTGTACTTCAGCAGCCACTGAACGATCTTTTAGCACGCATGCGCATATACATAGTCATAAACGAAATATATTGACTACAGACAGGGCAGCAAAAATAGCTTTTATATCGTATAATTGGAACCTGTTACACAAACATAAAAATGATGACAATGACGATGATGACGAGACGTTATCTACGCCCAGGCAATTATCAAGTCCGTTGGGTAGCCCAATAAATGAAGAACAACCTTCAACATCTCGTGGATATACACAAGAAATAGAATTTTGTAATATTAATAATATATTTAATGACAATGACAGTAGCGACAGTGACTAAAAATTTTCAATTGTAAAAAACTTTACAAAAGTGTTGTAACTTTTATAAAGTGTAATAAATAATTGTTAGTAAGTATCTCTCTTTGTTTTATTTTTTTTTTTTTGGTCAAATATTCTTAAAAGCTTTAATAGAGATTCTTTCTGCAATTAAGTAACATTCCATCACAATGCGCAAAAAAATCTTATGATAAAACAAGAAGACGTCTTTTTGTTGTTATAAAAAACTGCTGGTTTTATTCTAGTTTCTGAATCAGGCTACACATTTTGACGTTTCGAACAACAGTCAATAGCTAGTGCCTTATATACGCTGGCACAAAATATGTACGCATCACAATCTACCTATTTTTCGCTGCATTTGTTTTAAACATAAAAAAATATATAATTTTTTTTAAGATCGTGATAATTACTGTAAATAATGAAAATACCCGTCTATTGGGTTTTTTCCCATATAAATACCCGGTTTTTTCCCAAATGGGAAAAAACCTGGGTATATTCCCGTTGGGTTTTTTCCCACTGCCCATCTCTAATCATGACAAAAGCTTATTTTGATTTTTTGTAAGAACCGAATTATGGAAGCGATTATAATAAAATTTCTATTGGACTATATGACTATACCAGATAAAAAATGATAATTCCCAATTGGTTTATTAACACTAGTCCAAGACGTTTGCCAAAGTCGACAAGGTGGTCACAAGATAATGTGTCTGCGTGTGCAAACATCCTAGTAGCCAGGTCCTCCATGTGGTCATCCAGGGTAGGGATCATGAGGTCTCTTCAAGGGTCGTGCTCCACACGTTCCTGTGTGCGTCGATAATGGTACGCAGCGTGAGATGTTGTTGCACTGGAAATTTATTTCTGTTAGTTTGACTAGTATTGGCGTATCACGCCGACGCATATATACGTGAGGCATGGCCCAATGTAAGTCTTGTGGAGTATCAGCTTAATCTTGAGAGGGAGTTTTCTTGTTAGCATGGGCCGTAGGAGGTGCCTGACTACCCTGGTCTTGCTGCACGTTTTCTTCGCGTGAGTACTAAATACGAGCTTTCGGTCGATCTCCACTCCTAAATATAATAGGTGACGTTGCTGAATCAGTCGATTGGGAAGTTGCCCAGACATAATTTTGGTGGAAGGTTTTTGTAGCCGAAGAGGGTCGCCTGCGTTTTGCGCATGTTCACCGACAGTGGCCATGTCTTTAGCCAATATCAGGTAAGATATCAAGTTGTCTTGATACCCTACCTGATATAACGAAGGCTATGTAGACTGCGTCGTCTGCATGCAGCGCTAAGATCGTCTGGGGGGACGTTGGAATGTCATCGATGATCTACACGTAAAGCGTAGGCGATGATGATATACTGATGTATCGATGTATATTCCTGCCTATTTATAACGTCTGAGAATACTGGACCAAAATTAATAAATTACATGTCGTTCCCACTCTTTGACTTAGGTCAAAATAACTTTACTTAAGTAGGTTTTGTACTAAGTTGTATAAGTTACTATAGCTTTTTAACTATCCCACGGGAACTCTTTATATTTCCTTTATTAAAAGTATCTAAAATGTAAACAAAGATAAATATCGATAAATTCACTTCATCGACACCATCAATCATAACTCTAGCCTAATACGAATTAAAATAATAATAATTATATCTGTGGTCCTTTTTTTGTTAATTATATGTACGTATGAATGAACGAGGTAACAATATGATTTACTGTTTTTACGTTGTCAATACTTGTATTTTATTTTTTGTTCTAGACTTAGGCATTTGGGGGGAAAAATTTTAGAGTTAGGAACACTGCTTTGATTTGCTCTGCTCTATCCAAAATCTGTGGCTCTGTTTGTGCTCTATTCTCTGTGCTCTGGGAGTGACTCCATATGTGTTTTCCTTTTTGATAAAGGAGCTTATTTTTGTTTGAAATTTGCAAATATATACAGAATTTACCCATTAGTCTTGTTACACCAGTTTTAACATAGTATTTGTTTAAACGTACATAAAATCTAATTAAAATAAACTAAAAGTTACTTTGCATTATTTAATTTATCAATATTTTGAAGGGATAAGTCGTCAGCTATAAAAAAATGAAACCAAGCGGTGGCGGTGACGAATATGTAAGTAAATGTATTAATTTTAACCTTTCTTTCTATTTATCTCACACACAGATGCGTTTATTAATTGTCTTATGATAATTGGTTAATCAAATTATACTTGCATATTTAGAAACTGCTGAGTAAATTGTTTTTGATATTCACTTGTGTTTTGTCTTTACGATTGAATAAAATAATCGGTATATGTGTTAATTAAAATTAATAAAGTCTTATAGTATGATGGAATTAATATGCTCAATGTTATGAACGTAACTTCCTAATACATAAAAGAGAAAAAAATATTTTATAGTCTATTTTGCAGTCATGAATTACTAACATGTTTCACAGGAGGAACCAGAGCATATGCGTAAATTGTTTATAGGAGGCCTAGATTACCGTACTAATGACGCCTCACTGAAAGAATTTTATGAACAATGGGGTGAAATTGTAGATGTGGTCGTAATGAAAGACCCACAAACTAAGAGATCGAGAGGTTTTGGTTTTATTACTTATTCTAGAGCTCATATGGTTGATGATGCTCAGAATAGCAGACCTCATAAAATCGATGGAAGGTGAGTTTATAACTTTTTTTTTTAATAATTAATCCCAGTTACAACTCAGTAATTTAAATTATCTCTATCCATCATCAGTGTTCATAGTTAATATGAGGATTTCTAGAAATCATGTTTATGTATGTGATGTTTAACATTAGTTTTAAATAATTTGATTCGAATGAGACTGCAAACATATGAGGTTGTATTATCTATATCTATATATATAAATAAAATTGGAGTGTCTGTTTGTAATATTGAAATAACCATTTTTTTTACTACATGTGTATGAATATATATATGGTACATACATCAAAATAACATTTTTTACAAATTTGGTCTGTCTGTCTGTTTGTTCCGGCTAATCTTTGAAATGCCTGGACTGATTTTGACGGGACTTTTATTGGCAGGTAGCTGATGTAATAAGGAGTAACTTAGGCTATGTTTATTTTAGAAAAATAAAGTAGTATTGCAATGTCCAAGTACTGTCCAGTACTGCACGTAGTTAGGCAGAACAAAGTTCGCCTGGTCAGCTAATTTATAATAAAACATCTATATACATATATAACAAGAAGTTCGTTAATTTCCCATTATATATGCATATATAGTTGTATTGTATACATATCTATACTATTGAAAAAGTGTAAAACTGTTGTTTATTATAAGTATATTATATGTCATTAAGTTACATTGATAAAGTATATATAATATATATATATATATATATATATATATATATATATATATATATATATATGTATATATATTAAGTACCTATTATGTAAAATTTTACTATCACTGAGTAAATATTATTAATTATTTTGGCATGAGTATATTTGTCACTAATTCATACACAAGACAACATTACTAATAGTTAACACTTTAATGTGACAAAGTTACAACATTTTGTTTTTGCAGAGTTGTTGAACCAAAGAGGGCAGTGCCAAGAGAAGAAATAAATAGACCAGATGCCAGTGCCACAGTTAAAAAATTATTTGTTGGAGGCCTTAAACAAGATATAGAGGAAGAAGACATAAGAGACTACTTTAGTTCTTATGGAAATATTCTATCCGTTACCTTGGTTACTGAAAAAGATACAGGAAAGAAAAGAGGTTTTGCATTTGTGGAGTTTGATGATTATGATCCAGTTGACAGAATATGTTGTAAGTATTAGTTATAATCACATTAAATTTTTGAAAGAAAATAATTTTAGAGATAATCTTGTTACATAATAATTAACTCATTAAAATATAATTGCTAAAAGCTCAGATGTTTGGCAAAGTTTGTAAGTATTTGTACATTTTTGGCCTGTTATATGAGGTTACATTAAGTTAGTTATATTAGTTTTAATGCTTTTTGAGTCAATGTTGTGTGATGGCTTTTTTTAATAAAGCCTTTGAAACTCCTTAGGGGATGTAAAAATACAAATTGCATTAACTTTTTACCACACATTAAAAGCACAAAAAATAGTATTAGCTTTGTTCAATTTTAGACTATGATCCAGATAATAAATTACAAGTAAAATGAATAATGTCCAAAAAATGATATCTTAAAAGAAGTTATTTTCTTATTTAGACTGTAATTGGTTATTCTCTCCTATTAACAATATTATTTATCTCCTAAAGTGCAACAAAATCACAAGGTTAAGGGCAACCGGCTTGATGTGAAGAAAGCCTTGTCTAAATCCGAGATGTCGGGAGGCGGTGGCGGCGGGGGTGGTGGTGGCGGCGGACGGCGTGGAGGTAGAGGCGGTGGTGGTGGCGGTGGCTGGGGTAACCGGCAGAACCAGGACTGGGGTGGTTCAGGTATGTCAAAGTTGAAATTAGTTACCACTATCTGCTATTTCACACATTCCCTCTTGACGATATTTGCTGAGATATGTAATAACTCATCCACCTTTCACATGAGATTTACCTGTAGGATTGAAATTTAAGGCTGGCTTTAGTCTACTTATTGCCCCTGGGCACATTTTTGATGGTAACCTTCTGGTGTTAAAAAAGGTCTTTAGTAATCCACTGTTCGTTTTCAAGAACTAGAACCTTTACTGCCATCATCATATGGTGTTCTTTTTAAACATTGGTGCCTTTGGGTGCTTGTAGACTGAGACTCCCACTTAAGTCAGTACTTTATATATGCAATACACATTATAAGAATTTATAGATTTGTATTTTTCCTATCCTATTACATAACATCTATTATATATAGATGATGGTGGATATAATTCAGGATATGGACAAGGAGGATGGGGCAACCATAATCCATGGGAGTCCAACAATTCCGGAGGCAACTGGGGTAATCAAGGCTACGGCGATCAGGGTGGCTGGGGTCAGTCCTCTAACAATTTTGGTGGTGGCTACCAACAAGGTTTTAGCGGTGGTCCAATGAGGGGTAACTACAACACTTCAAGGTCCCAGCCTTATAATACAGGTATGTAATTCAATTATTATTATGTTTTAAACATACAATTTTAGTAATTTATCTGTATCTTGAGGACTGTTATTGACTTTAAAACTAATAATAATCATCAGCCGTGTTGGCATATAATGTCTCTTTCCTCTCTCGTGGGTATCGTAAGAGGCGACTAAGGGAACTTATGGTTGAGGGATAGGCAGTAGCATCCTTAAAATATCTCCAAGATTCTAACTGCGGTTGCCAATCCGCCTGCCAAACGTGGCAATTACTGGCAAAACCCCCTAATCCTAAGCAAGGAAAAGGCCCCCGGTCCCCGGCGGCTCCAGGAATAATCATCATCATCATCTCATCCATTATTAACATACAATAATCTATAAATAACTAAATATTGGTATTATGTATTATTATTATTATATATTATAACGTACATAATTCAAATCATAATTACATAAATTATTCACGATTCTTTCCTGCTTTTAAGATACAAACCTATGTCGATTATATGTGGATATGGAACCACACACAATTTATTGGTCATACATTTTGTAGATTGTTAGCTTCACTATTTCCAATCTGATTTCTTTTTTTTTTTTTTATTCTGTGCGTATTTAGTAAAGCCAATATTGTTTATATTGGCTTTTTTTTTTCGAAATTGGCATTTTATAAAGGGGACAGATAAAAAATAATAATAGACATCTAAAAGAAAATTCTCAGTTGTACTGAGCCTTTTTTGCGACAATGTTACGCCATTACGTCAATAACTCTGAACAGATTTCCATAAATATTTTTACAATTGACAGGGTTTACTTCCGTGTTGGTCCCGTATTAATTTTGTGAGCTGAATTTTTGTATGAAAAGATTGACTGTTGCGAAGCCAAATTTAGAAGGTAAAGTATCTACAAAACATGTCATTGCATGTATGGTGCCAAGCAAACATCTCGCCGTTTACCAGTGAGTTCATAAATAAAGTCGCCTTTTTTCACTTAATTTACTTGTTATTTACCTATTTTATTTACGATTATGTTTATATATTTTGATTACAGGCACAGCAAGATTATTTACTAAATGTTAAATAAAAAAAACTGGTATACAGTTCTATTTAAATTATTTACCGCGTTGCGTAGCTAGTTAGATAATTATAATACAAATTATAAATTTAGGCGGCGGAGGTAGCGGATATACGACGGGTGGTGGTGGCGGCGGCGGCTCAGGCTACAACACTATGGGCAACTCGTCCTCTGGTGGAAATCAGCGCAGGTTCTAAAGCATCACTAAGCCTCTTGTAAGTACTCACACTTGTAAACTTAGTAGATCAACACTTTACACCAATTGTTACTTAGGTCATATAACAAAAACATCTATATTAAATTTAATATTCGGTTGAATTCATTAAAAAAAATTTCAGGACAAGTATTTGTGCTATAAATTTATAAAGATATTTTTCAATGTGTAGGTCTCAAGTTACGCTTAGTTGAAGCTAGGCAGGCAGGCAGGCGGTAGTATAGTGACGTAGCAGGCGGAAGGTAGGCCACGCAACAGCTAGCTAGTGAGGGCCAAGCGGACTTAGTGAAGCGACCACATTTAATTAGTCATTTAACATTTTATTTCTCCTTCAAGTAAGGTTTGTTCACAATAAGGTACTGTGTAGGCACCACATCAATTTTTCTTAAGTTTTTGCAAATTAGCACATCACAGTTTTTACATTTGAAACAAGTAAGTGTTGAAGCACACCTGTGTCTTTTATTAAATGTAACACAAAGGAATAATTTTTGTCTTGAATCCATTTGTACTGTAAAAACTGTGGCTTCAAAGCAATATTTTCATTTCTAGTCTATAAGAATTATATTTTATATAGATTATGTTATAAATGTTGGTCACTTTATTTTTTTTTTTTTATGACGCTCAGCTACGTTTAGTTACGACATTCCAAAATAATTTGAAAAGACCTAAACAAGATAAAATGACTTATTTTGTTGAGAATGTTTTAGCTGATATCGTTTATACGGACTTCAGTGTAATTATTTATATCAGTTAACTATACTATATGTAGAGATATATTACTTAAATAAGTGGTTTAATTATTATATTTAAAAATTACTCAAAGGTACATTACTATAACTAATTTAATTAACGTAAAGATATTATTTTTACTTGTTAATTGATTTAAAATGTGAAAGTTGTTATACTTATAGTATACTGTTCTAATGTGTTCCTGTTATATTCTTGCGAAACATTTAATTTCGTTGTATTCTAAATGTGTGGAGTAAAATATTTTAGTTATTATTATTTTGTGTGCATCAAATTAAATATATGGTGTTTTCCATGGACTCTTCTACACGGACGAGAGACTCGAGTGGAAAAGGCCATGGTAAGTGGACTTTGCCCAAATAAAAATATAAAAAAAATCACAATATACTTTTATTTCAATTTTATTCCTTACGTAGCTGTAATATTTACATGATATATCAATAGTAATAATTCAGTAAAACTATTTACAATAGTGTTTATTATGTTAGTATTCATGATTATCCTTGCAATTCTTCTCGTCAGTTGATTGGTCTGAATTAAGAGTGTACTGCTGTACGAGTTAAGGCGTTCCCCCATACGCAAGACATGTATATGACGAAAGAATAGAATGGTGGTATAGAAGGTAATTTTTTTTTCCAAAATCAATTCAAACGTCTTTGTTTGAAAATTTCTTTATCGATGGATAATTATCGCAGAACGTACGTGTTATTGTGTCCATTAGTTTATTTTTTATGATTTCTCTGGATTTTTTTTTATCAAACTTGACGTTACTAAAGTACTCCTGCTTGTAGCCTAATATTCCCATAAGCTCGTCAACAGCCTAGGAAGGGGGAAAGGGATTGTTAGTAAGTAGTTTAATGTGGATTTCACAGTCCCAATGCTAACTTACGCTGTCAGGTCAACCTTCACGGTTCCTCTGAAATCATCTTGGTTTATTCGACACTATAACACATTTTCATAAAAAAATTAACAGTAAGGTACATTACCTGAATAACTTATTACATACATTGACATGTCGTCATAGTGACATTTTGACATTTTTTGATACTAATAGTTTTATTAGTGATTTTTATTTGACAAAAGATACAATGTATCTTTCTAAATCATCTAAAAATAAAATAGCCACTTTAGTGGCTTATAATATTGACTACATGAACAGTTTACATGGTAAACTTAAACATAAAAATGCTGACATAACAGATAATTCTATTAATATTTGTGACATAAGGACTATGACTGCAGATTTAAACTGCTCACAAAGACAAAGGGAAAGCAATCAGAATTAATAATTGTTCATCAGAACATACAAAGTTTTCCCGGCAGCGAGTTAATTATACAATTATTTTTAGAAAAGTATAATATTGATATTGTCTGTTTCACAGAACATTGGCTTAAAGAAAGCAATATGATGTTCAATTTAAATAATTATAACGTTGTCAGCTGCTTCAATCGAAAGTCAGTTAACAGAGGCGGGTCTATGATAATTGCAAGAAATAATATTAATGTAAAGGAACGTGCTGACATTGTTAGACTTTCTATTGAGTGTTGTATAGAATTATCTTGTATAGAACTAGAAAATTATATCCTTATATGTGTGTACAGGCCTCCTAATAGTGATTACAATGTTTTTGAAGGGGTGATGGAGGATATTTTAAAAAAAGTATTTAATAGTATTAAAAAAATTATTGTATGTGGAGATTTTAACGTTGATATTCTTTGTAACACACCCACATGTACAAAATTTATTAGTTTATTTCAGTCGTTTGATTTATGTCATGTCTTTCATGAACCCACTCGTGTAACTGCCACGTCTGCTACTTGTCTTGACAATGTTTTTTGTAACTGCGAGTATACAGAAAAATTCATAATAAATAAACTTCCTTCAGATCACTGTGGTCAAGTTGTTAAGTTTAGCAGTCAAATCAATAAAGTCAACAATAATAAAAAATCAAAAAGACAAATAAATGTTTACAATATTAATAAATACAAAAGCGCGATTAAAAATAAATTGGATTTGCTGTTACAATCTAGTAATAATCCTGATTATCTTTACACCAAGCTAATTAATATTTTATCCGGAGAATATGAACAATTTTTCAAGAAAAAAGAAGTTCATGTTAAATCTAAATTCACGGAATGGGCAACAGTAGGAATACTTAAAAGTAGAAATATTTTGTTTGATTTATACGATCAAAAAAAATATCGATTTGATGACAAATTCACCACTTATGTAAAAAATTATTCTAAAATTTTTAAAAAAGTTTGTATTATGGCTAAGTCTAATTATTTTAATAAACAAATTAAGCAGTCTTCTGACAAAATTAAAACCATCTGGAGCATTATAAATAAAGAAACTGGAAGATCTAAAATAGCCTGTAATCAATTTACATTAAATTATGATAATAAATTAATATCAACAACAAAAGATGTAGTTAATATTTTTGAAGATTTTTTTGCTAATATTCCGATTGATATTACATCTTCTCTGGACTCATCTCAATCTCGAGCAAAAAAATTACTAGAGACTAATATCGGTTGTTGTTCTTTAAGATTTAAATTTTCACATGTTAGCCCCTTTCATATCATAAAAATATTCAAACAGCTAAATTTAAAAAATACGGAAGACCTTTGGGGCATGTCTGTAAAAGTAGTTAGTTCTTTCATAGATATTGTTGCTCCATATCTAGCCACTATTTTTAATAAATGTATTGATAATGGCGTTTTTCCACATTTAATGAAATTTAGCAAATTAATCCCACTATTTAAATCAGGAGATAAATTTGAGCCAGGGAACTATAGACCTATATCTATTTTGCCAGTTCTAAGTAAGGTGTTTGAAAAGATAATGTTAAATCAAATGTTACATCACTTCAGGGTTAACGGACTGCTTCACAGTCAGCAATATGGTTTCACCGCCGGCAAGTCTACCACTGACGCAGGTGTTGCGCTAGTGACACATATTTTCGAATCTTGGGAGAGGTCACAGGATGCACTCGGAGTTTTTTGTGACCTATCAAAGGCATTTGATTGTGTGGATCATAAAACGCTTTTGTACAAGCTCGAACATTATGGTATAAGAGATAATGATCTAAAATTAATGAGAACTTATTTAGAGGATAGGGTTCAAACTGTAGATATTGACGGTGTAAAATCTAAGGGAGCTAATATTAAGATGGGCGTTCCACAAGGGTCAATCTTAGGCCCCTTTCTCTTTTTAATCTACATAAATGACCTTCCCTTTATGGTAGAGAAAATTGCAGATATAGTGCTGTTTGCGGATGATACTTCGTTAGTGTTTAAAATTGGACGTCAAAGTAATCAATTAGACGATGTAAATTGTGCTATGTCTGCAATATTAAATTGGTTTACATGTAATAACCTATTATTAAATTCCAGCAAAACAAAGTGTATAAAATTTACACTTCCTAATGTAAGACTAATAAATACACAGTTATTGCTTAATGATGAAATAGTAAATTTTGTTAATGATACAGTTTTTTTAGGTATAACAGTGGACTCGAAATTACAATGGGGGCCCCATATTTCAAAATTGGCCAGTAGACTCAGTTCTGCTGCATATGCAATTAGAAGAATTAGACAATTAACAGACGTGGCAACGGCTAAACTTGTATATTTTAGTTATTTCCATAGCATAATGTCTTATGGCATACTGCTGTGGGGTAAAGCAGCCGATATAAATACTATATTTGTTTTACAAAAGAGAGCCATACGTTCTATTTATGGTATGGGTTCGAGAGAGTCATTACGTCAGTGCTTTAAAGACTCAAATATCCTCACAGTTACTTCACAATACATTTATGAAAATATTATGTATACACGGAAGAACTTAGAGAGTTTTAAAAAACTCAAAGACTGTACAAGTAGAAACTTACGCAATATAAATAAGCTTATTTTACCTAAATGCCGTCTGCACAAAATCAGTAATTCATTCTATGGTAATTGCATAAGATTTTATAATAAACTGCCGGAATCTGCATTAAATCTGACAGAGAGGCAATTCAAATCTTATATTAAACAATTTTTATGTAAGAAAGCCTATTACAGGATAGACGAATTCATAGATGACAACATATCAAGTAAATAATTAGTTTATTAGCATACAACGTTATAATTTTATTTTCTCATTGCTTTCTTGATTTAATTGATTAATTTTAGAAATATGAAAGCGTAGCGGTTTTTTGTATTAATTGCCGCATGCATTCTTATGTAAAATGTGAATACTATAACTATCAGATGGCAATTATGAGTAGCTTTGACGTGGTCTAGTGTTTTGAGTAGTCATGCTCACTAAAATGTCCAGACTTGTGGCGGCGTGGTGGGCCGGGTCATTGGGCTCCCTAAAATATGGTCGAGCGCAGTGATGGCTGGCTCATCCGTCATACTCGTGAACGGGTGCTGCTTGTAGGGACTGGTCTGCTCTAATCACTATGACTGATTTCCTCTTATTAATTGTTTAACCAGTTGGTTATGTATTCAATATTTTTTTTTTCTTTTTGAATATTTAATTGAATTAGTGCTAATTGGTGGTTTGTATTCACACAATTAAACTTGAAAATGTAAAGTAATAATAAAATTATTTAAAAGAGCAACACGCAAGTTTCTTGCTCGTTCTTCTTGTGATGAGACAGCTTTCCGAACGAGCGGTAGATTAAAAAAAAAATGTAATGACTTTTCAAAAGTGCTTCAATGTAAGTTTATTTGAATAAATGATTTCTATTCTATTCTATTCTATTCTAACTGACCTGTTTCATCCTCACCGATGCCTTTCACTGGTGCTCCGCTAGTATAAGCAAACATGAGATTTGTTTGCGAATTTTAAATATTCATTACACACACAGATATGATCTCAAAAGGACACGTCACAAATTTCATAGCTTAGATTTAAGTACATTATGTTTCATAGATCAGATAATATTTTATAAGTAGGTACGGACCTAATGTCTTCATAGAATCAATCTAACCCGTTTTGATATTATTAATGATAGTTTGAAATAGATCAAGACCCACCGAAACTTAAGTTTTTCAAGTGTAGATCGTATCTTACCAGGATATTTGGCGTAATGTACAATCAAAATGACTTGATGGAGTTTAATAAATTAGATGTTATGAAACTCATTGTATTTATAGTAAAAGATAGTACATTAATATAGAATAAATATGACAAATAAACTAAAATAATGAGTACAATAAAAATTCCTTTATTTTTCAATGCCTTTTTTTTAATTGGTATAATGTGATCAATTACTACAGCTTTCAATTTCAATAAATTGGCAAATAATAACAAAATCTGTTGAATATGTTAGGAAGAAATAATAAATGTGTTTGAAGGTCAAAGGCTGAACAGAGAACAACCCAGTTGTGTCTGCTTACCCCGGTTCTATAATAAACCTTATGTGTATATATAAATAGGTGCCTACATATCAGAAGGACTTGACTGTTTGTCGTGCTTTTGCTTGTTTGTTACCTTCGTGTAATGTAAATCTAATTATTTAATTAACAATTCAATAAATAGGTAATTTATCAATAGCGGTAATTATTTAACAAGTGTTATGACGTGCTAATGCAAGTATTGGTGATATTTTTAGGTAATTAATTTCACTGCAAGTATTTTGAATAAAAAAAATATCGAAAATAAATAACAGCATGTTATAATACCGGTATCGTTTTGGTTCAGAAGTTCTGCATTCATTGAATTAATAGTGTCCGGTTATAAATGATAGATATACCTATTTGAACCCGTGCTGAACATTTATAATGAAATGATAACGGTATCGACAAATTGAACAAAAGTAACATCTATTCTTAGAAACTTAGGTATTATTTTTCTTATTTAAAATTTTTATTACGATCATAAGGCGACTAGAAAACAATAGAACTATTTGAAATAATTAATACCACCTTTAATTTTCATTTCATTATTTAAGTAGGTAGAATATCAAGGGGCCGGCCTATCTACAACTAGTCTAAAAATTATCTTATTATACATTATATTATTTGTCCAACGGTGGCGGCGGCAAGCAAGGACACGGCGGTGGACAGTACGGAGCGCCTAATACTGATGGAAATAATCCTGACGCCGCAGCTAAATGTCTGTAATGTATAAATTGCTTGATCAGTATATATTAGAGAAGATTGAAAGAAAGTTAATCTTTCTAGACATTCATTGTATTTGGTACATGTAAACACGCATTCCGTCTCTATATTTAAATGTTCTGAATGATACGTACGTATAAAACATCAGTGTGTGTTAATACACCGATTAAAAAGGTGTTTCATGTTGTGTGTGTTATATTTTATAAAGCATTAAGGATAAGTTCTACCTGTATTGTTGATCAAGATGAGCCTTTTCTATTCTTTTGTCTTTCGCTCTTCGATTTTGAAACCAAATTTTAACTTGCGTTTCACTCAATGATAATGCTGATGCCAGTTCACATCTGCAACAATTATTCAACATTAATGTGAGCCCAATATTAGAGTAAATCCTGTCGAATTCAAAAATAATTAGAGAATATATCGCGGAACATATACAATAAAACAGGTGAAATGAGAATTTTGAGTCGTTTGAAAATGTGCAGACTATCTACTACTAACAACTAGTTAGTGTAGAATGTGTATTGGTTTTTGACCCAACATGTTCGTTGTTTTTTTTATGTAACAAGGTATTCCAGTTCGTACACAGCGGGCACATCGTTGTCTGATGTCTTGAAGCTATACGTTTATACGGAAAAAGATTGTAAGTAATGGTGATTAACTACCCCATTGCGAGAGCAAGTCCACTTTAACGCTGTCTTTTTATGTTTTTCTATAAACTAATGTGTTATTTACTTGGTACTTTCGTATTTATATAAACTCAGTTTTACAATAACTTTATTTTACAATGATAAGTGTAATTTCTCGTGAATTTGCGGTTTAGTTAGAAACCTCATATATGAAAATAGTTCTTTAAAAACTCTAGATCCAAAAATTCACAGTTCACCTTCTTGCTCTAGCCACGTATTCGCCTCTGGCATACTCTAGTTCCAGCCTGAGAGTTTGGTGTGCCGAGAATGTTGTTCGCTGTCGCCTCGGCCGACTTTCTTTTCGCCTCCGACGTGCCACTATAATACAAAAATGTACATTGCATTTAAATATTCAAATACATTGAATATTTTAATACTCCAGATAAAAAAAATATGTCGATTTATATAGACGAAATCGTCTTTGAACTATGGACCACTCTGGAAATTTGCGAATTTTGGCAAAGTAGTAGTTGGTAATGTTTTTTAGTAATAATGGTATGTTATCCCCTCAGCGCTATCTGTTCACGCTGGAGTGCCGGTATTTTCAATGAGGGATGATAAGTAAGGATAAAATCAGGTCATTTATCCCATTGTGATGAATTCACCAGGGTATAACCATAATTGTTTTTACAGGGGGATCACGTGGAAGTCGACCTGATAGAGTATATTGCTAGCAATGGGGACTAACCTCCCAATTGATAACAATCCCTTTCCCCCCTTATTTTTATTATTATTATCACATATTTCACGTTCCGATCGACAATAAACAATTTCCATTCGATTGCCTATATATGTAAGGTTTCATTGTGGTTCCTGTAGGCATCATTATGTGATTTGAGTCCTGAGAAAATCAGGCTTGTAAGAGCTCGGATTGCACGCCATATTGCTCCGGAAGTTGCTCCCGGGTGAAACCCTAATCGCGCCGGACGGGTTCAATACCACGATATGCTAATTACAATATCCATTTATTGTAAAAAATTCAAGTAGACTAGTCTATTTAAATGATCTGTGAGTAGTGATGGATTAAGGAAATTGTTTTGTTTATGAGATCTCAGGTTCGATTTTCGGTCGAATCAATGTAAGAAGCTATTTTTTTCTACATATATATATATATATATATATATATATATATATATATATATATATATATATATATATCGTTTGTTAGTCTGATTTGTTTTTTTTGTTTTGTTGTAATACCTACAGAGGTTAAAAAGAAAAAAATATCAAGAATTAAAGTTCAGTTAAAAATCAAAAAATTAAAAAGGGGTAATTTTATGTTGGAATCGTTACTTCGGATTACTTTGAATAGATGACGTTACAGGTGGTACGAATTTCACCTGGTCATCTAGTAAGTAAAATGTAACTGAACACTGGGAATTTTGTGAAATTCTAAATTGGTCTCCGGTCTGGTTGTTGTGGACTATACCCTCAAATATCCGTTGCCTTATTTGAGGAACAGGCAATTGTTACTATGTATATTTATTTAGATATTATTTTTATTATCTACAAGCTTTTGTCCGTGATTTCGCGTGACCGCTATATGTTTATTGATAAAAAGTACTCTATATCCTTCTCTGTCTCATATACTAGGTATATATCAAATTTCAAAGTGATTAGTGAAGCCATTAAGGCGCTAAGGAGTAACAGAAAAACTCACATTTTTTTTTAATATTTTTTTTTATACAACTTAGAATGGCAAAGGAGCTGACGGCCCACCTGATGGAAAGTGGTAACCGTCGCCTATAGACATGAGCAGTACCATGGACATAACAGAGTATACTGTTTCGCCCATGATTTCGCCAATGGCAACCCCCATGCGTTGCCATTCCTGAGAACTCAGGTGTTATTTCTCTGTACCCAGTAAATTTACGCCATATCCCACCCTTCAAACCGAAACACAGTCATGCAAACACAACTGCTTCACGGTTGAAACACGAATTTATAATATTAGTAAAGATTATAATAAGTATAACATATATAAAAGAAGGAAAACTGAAAACTCCAATAAGGCTTGGCAAGCTTTATCAACCATTATCTCACGTTGACCCGTGTCATAATAGTGACGTCTCCGTAAAGAGTGATTAGTCCCTAGCAATAGGGACGTCAATGAGGTTAGAAAAAAATTATGAGTACCTAAGTTTTTTTTTATAAACGAAGATGGAATGATGCACCCATCTACGCTAATGGTATGCAATGATGGGCCACCAGTAAAGTCTGAAACGATAAGGATGAAATCAGGTTAGTTGGCCCAACGTTGGAATTAACCACAATAGTTTCCAGGTTTAATCTTTTAAAGGGATTCTATTTATTCTGATTTATGAAAATTACATTCTGCAAACAATACAGAACGGCTTAGTTAAACATAAAATTCATATAAATGAGTATTTATTACAGGAGAATAGACCTTTTTTGGGGTAAATATATAATCATGCTCGATAAATTTAAATTATGAATATAACAGAAATGAAGCGAATCATACGTACATAGTTATATCCGTGCTAATATCAGTCACCGATGTGATTGAAGCTCTATAGTGTATAAGTAATACAAGTGACCATATGGCGTATCAATGGTGTGGTTACATTACATGACCGGTCAATTACCGATTGATTTATGATTCGACGCACACCACTATTGAGATATGGTTACTTAAGGACGCCTGCGACAGCAGGGGTGCCACATAATCTCGTGTCTCTACAATTTTAAAACGTATAGATTTATTACATGCAGGTGTTTATCACAGCCTAGTTAGGGCTGTAATAATTTAGTTTTTAAGTAATAACGATATAATAATTACAAGTAGATATCTCTGTCTAGTTCCGCCCCAGCTAAGACCTTTTTTTTTTAATGGACAACAATGGCATGGTAACTTTGCCTAAACTATCGATATACGCTGGCGGAGTGCTATTAAGAGATAATAAATGATGATGACAGCAGATCAATTGGCCTTTAATGACGAATTCATCAAGAATTTGACTATGATGATTCCAAGAAATGACCGTGCAGACAGCAACATGACAGGGTAATGGGACCACTAGTCCCCATTACTAAGAACCGCTCCCAATTTCCCTTAACAAGAGCTTGTACCACGGGTACTAAACAGCTAATATACATACTTGGTCATACTCACAAATACAAATTGTATTTTGCCGGTTTGAATCTATGATCATTGAAAGGTGAGACAGTGTGTTAAACCGCTACACTACAGGGGTAAATAAATACAATGAAAATAAAATCACCAACAAACAATTTCTTTTCCCATCAATGCTCTGAAAAGATTTTATTTTGTAAGAGAAACACTAATAGAGATGTTGTTTATTGTTCACGTGATCGTTAGTGAAGGCGGTGCGTGCGAGGTTGCTCTCATTTTGTTTGTTCTCGGCATCGGAACTATTTATATATGTTTATTGTACTAGTATGAGCAATAGTCTGCTTAATGATTCAAATAAATGATGAAATATGACGGAGATAGTATCTAAACAGCAAGATTTTAGGGTTCTTTAGGTAGATTTTTTTTTTTTTATACAACTTAGAATGGCAAACAAACTGACGGCCCACCTGATGGAAAGTGGTAACCGTCGCCCATGAGCAATACCATGGACATAACAGAGTATACTGTTTCGCCCATGATACCCCCCATGCGTTGCCATTCCTGAGGACTAAGGTGTTACCTCTGTACCCTGTAATTTTATTATTTTATCTCACCCTTCAGACAAAAACAACTGCTTTACGGCAGAAACACCTTTGGTATTCCCAAAGGTACCACCACGGTACCCAAGCAAACGAGTTTTGTACAAAGTTTCCGTCTGGTCACCTGCATGATTTATTATATATACCACACACTACTTTTTAAGTAACATTACTAAAGCCTAACTGCAGTCACCAACACGCATGCCAAGCGTGGCAACTACTGGCAAAAGTACCCTTATGGAGGGGGGAGGGACTATGTTCAGCGGTGGGCAATCAACGGCTAATATGATAATGATGATAACTCTTAGAAAGATCCCTTACATTATTTGTAATTAATTTCTATGTACAGACATCGGTCAATTACGATTTTATTATATTATTAGTGTGAATTACAATGATGCACCCATAATAATTGTGAAATCAAGTGTGGACAATCTGCTAGAGATAATGTTATTGGCTTTAACAATATAAACTTAAAAAGGGTGGCTCGCGGTGAGATTCGTCAGCTGTGGATACCCTTATATCTACATTATGGCTCCTCTATGGGGTCCGACTGCTGTCACATATCGTCACGCGCTCAATCGAGCTGAAAGTGATATTCGTACTTAATATTTAATAGGGTTTTAAATGGATTAAATTTTTCATGTTAATAAACCGTTCATTTATTGTATGATCGTATATGTTATTAATTTGACATGTTTAAATAATTATGTAATAAATTTAAAGCACCTTTAATTGCAAAACTCAATTAGTTGCAAAAGATAAGGTTATTTTATAATCTCTGTGCCGTACATTAGTAAATGGGTAGGAAACGAACTTATAATTTTGAAATATTTGTTATCAATCATCATTGCAACCATTACATTGAAAAAAACTACATGATTAAGAATTTTATTAAATATAAATCATTCAAATTAATCGGCGAAAATATCAGTTGATGTGGGTAATATTAAAAAAATATCTAATTGAAAACCTCCTCTTACTTAAAACCGTTTAAAAACTATCTTCTCCCTGTTGAAATCTAATAATCCCCACTAATATTTTTTTTCTCAAACCTACTGATTAATCTATAATCTTACAATACCATAAACGAAGCGGACATGGGGGTCGGGACCCTTTAATATTCATTAACAAAGATCCCCTAATTACTTACCTATTCGACCATGACCGACCGAGATTGGAGGGGGTGCCGCACCTGACTTGTTTACTTTTTGTTTTCAATAGGTACAATTCATAGATATTGATATTGCAAAACGCATGCTCCGATACATTTCAATTGAAGTCAATAGCTCAATGAATCTTGGGAGATGGAAATATCTTCAAGAAATTGTTCATCTTTTACATGCCAATAAATTGCTGCGATATTTATCTATAGTTTTTAAATATTTAACCGAACGTAGATAAGTACTTAACATCGAAACTAATACTTTGTTTTTAATAGTTTTAATGATATTTAAATGTAATTCTATTAGAATAAGAGTGACATTAGCATATTACCATACTGGCTCGATGACTTAGTATTTATAGTATTTAGACTATAATATTTACATTACGGCGAAACAAAAGGAGGCTATAAATTTGGTATTTTTCTTGCACTGATGTATATGTCGTTATGTCTATATGTATGTTTGTTGTGGTATTACGCAAAGACTC